GACCACCTGGAACAGGAGCACTATGGCCTCCTACAGACTTCTGTTTATTGATAATTGAACAGTTAAACAGTTGATGACTGGTCTTCAGTGAGGATTGAGGCTCAACAACAGGAATTCAAGGATTCACAAGGAAGAATGGGTGAGTGCCATAGCTCCCAACCCCCTCCCGCAGAGCCCGCACTGTGCTGCACCACAGCCGCAGCTCCATGAAGCTCCCACAGCCGGAACCTATGGAATCCCTCACCCAGGATGGCGAGTCGGCACTGGGCCTCCCCAGGACTGGTACAGCGGAGCCAACACACTGTGGCAAAGTGGACTGGTTCTGGGGAGAATTCTTGGAGCCAAGATGGCGGCATCAGGGGAAGCGGGCGGCCACTGGCCTCCAGCATGCAAGATGAAGCATGACCACCAGCCACCCATGTGGGAGATGATGCGCGGTAGATGGCTTGGGCGCGCCGGCCACCCACGTGGAAGATGGCGCTCAGCCAGCAGCCACCCGGATGGCGCACGCCCATCGGCTGCCCTTGCACGAGATGATGCACGCCTGCCAGCCGCCCGTGTGGGAGATGACACTCGGGAGATGGCTCGCGCCCACCAGCCACCCGTGCAGAAGATGGCAAGATGATGGGCACCCACCAGCCGCCCACACTGGGGGATGGTGCCCACCAGCTGCCCGCACACGAGATGACACGCGCCCACCGGCCACCCATGTGGGAGATGACGTGCGGTAGATGGTGAGCACCCACCAATCATCCACGCATGAGATGATGGGCGGCAGCTGGCCATCCACGCTGGGGGATGGCGCCCGCCGGCTGCCCGCACACGAGATGATATGCGCCCACTGGCCACCTGCGTGGGAGATGACACATGGAAGATGGTGAGCGCCCGCCAGTCGCTCACACTGGGGGGTAGTGCGTGCCCACCGGCCACCCACATGGAAAATAGGGTGCACGCTCCACCACCTGTGGGGGGGACATGAGCCCCACTACCTACAGGTTTGGGTTTCCTTGGAAAACCAGAGATGATCACCTATACAATGGATTGTTGAAAGTCACTGTGAGTTGTCTACTTGATGACACTTAACAGTGGCAGCATGTCCAAGAGGACCGACATCCTAAATGCACCACATATTTTGATCTGTTGAATGCTTCTGCCAAAA